TGTGCCTTGCGAGCAGGCGAGGAGAAGAGAGAGACGGGTTTTGTGTTCGTGTCGAAGCAAGCGTCTCTCTTGGCCAGGCTGGGTGTCTCTGGCTGTGGTTGAAGTGTCGACTCGAGCACGCAAGACAGCTGGATGACGTGTAAATGTGGTTGGGCTTGCAGCGGATCGGCAGCGAGGATCGACCTCTTGTTCAAGCACACGTGAGCCGGGGCGAGACGGAAGAAGGAGATGGATACGGCGAGGAAGCAGTGAAGACGCGACGAGACCCTGACGGAGTAATAAGGCTGAGATATCACAGGAGTCGCAGCGAGGGCCGCGCTGGGCGGGCACCCGCCACGACGCATTGCGCGTGCCCACGGCGGTACAGAGTACCTCGAGGCAATGTTAGGTTGGCCGGAAGGGCGGCAAGGGCAACTGTTGGTTTTTGCGGCGGCGCCTGACGAAGACGAGAAAGTTGGCACGGCTGCAGGGATGGCTCTTGGGTACATGCCGCGGGCAGGGCAGGGACGGGAAACCCTGCGGATCGCCCACTCCAAGGGTCCTCGAGATGCGTCGAATTGGATGCCTCGACGTCCGCGAATTCCTGCCCTACCCGGGTTCCAGGGTTGAAAGTCGCCAGCCTGCACGCAAGCCACAGGTGGCTGACCCGCCCTTCTGCGCCCCACGCGCCCCTCCCGCGCTCGCTGAGGCCTAGCGCAGCGCCTGTGCAGGCTCGCAATCCGGTTTCCAGGACCCTTGAAACGCCCGGATCGACCCTTGGAAACGACCGGCCCGCCCTAGTCTCGCAGCATGTGCCAATTCCCGAGCCACACCTGCATGAGCCACGTCGCCCGTGTGGCGGTTTCCCCGGCGGCCTCACATCTGTGGCGCCGTGTCGTCAGCTGCTCCATTGGGGGTCGGGGGGCTCGGGGGGGAGCGAGTTCGAGACTTTGAGATCGTCCAGTGTCGTGGCCTTTCTACCGGGCTGGACCTTGTAAATTCGCAACAAACGTCCCTAAAAGTTAGAAAAATCCAGTCAACCTTGGAAAATTGCATTGCTTTTTTTTTCAGTCGTCATCAGCAGACTACCAATGCCCCGCCTCCGTGACTTCAGTCAGTGCCTGCTCCGTGAATGGGCACGCATGAATCATTTGGAGAGTCAATTTGCCGTCACGAACACAGGCGCAGAAGCAATGGCGCCAGGATGCCCGCTATGACTACGGGTGCCTGCTCCCTACTGGCAGTCCACGTTGATGCTGGACGTCTGTAAACAATCAATCCGAGGCCTTGGTCGCCTTGGTCGCCAGTCGCCTCGAAACTGCACCAACGTCTTGTGTGGTGGTCCGAGCTGCGTCCCTCAAATCTGTCGGCACGGCATTTCACAGTCGCACGTGCAGCCTACAGATAAACGTTGGAAACGCCATAGCAATAAGCGCGCACTTGCGCAATCCAGTGTCCGTCATTCCAAGGATCGGCAAATCTAGCAGCCGACGGCTGCGAACTCCTGGGCGCCCTGCACATAACGAAGGCCTATCAGACTCCGGGAACTCGTGCCAATGTGCACTAGTCACCACAATACTGAGCACCTGTCGCGATGGCGCCCCTAAAAGCTCAAAGTCCACAGTCGGACGGACACATTTGCTGCTTCGAGCAAAAGTGCCAAGGGGAAGCGACTTTAGCGGCGCCCACTGCCGGTGTCAAGCGCTGTGCGTGCCCCTCCCAACCGCCCCGATTCGTGACGAACGCCGGCTCTCTGCGCGTCGCTACTCGCCATGGCCCATCGTGGTCCACCAACGTGTCGAGTCGCGTCACGCAGGTTCCAGAAATCCATCAGATCCAGCCAAGCGCATAAACGATCGCCCGTAAATCACATTTGCTGCTCGTCGTCGCGGGCCTCCACAAAGTCCGACTCTCCGTTGCGTTGGAGGAATCTTGGCGGCCGTGGCCCCTGATTCTACCCCAATCCATTGCCTGCTGCTCCAAACTTTTCCGCGCCAGCTCCAGGGATCACGAAATAACCACGCCGTAGATGCCTCGTTAGGGGAGATGAGGGGCGGCTGATCGAGGGGCAATCGCCGTTCTCGAAGCCTCGGCGGAAGCTAACCAGTTGCAAAGGGTTGTGCGGCCCCCCGACGGAAGCCACTGTCAAGGGGGCGCTTTTGTACCGAGCGAGTACTTGACATGGTCTTGTCCGCATCGCACGTGGCGGTCACGGTTCAGCCATTCCAACAACTCGGTAACCTCAGCATGTCGTCCACACAACAAACCGTCCTCATCACGGGATGTAGCGAAGGAGGCATTGGCGACGCCCTCTGTCTCGAGTTCCACAGCCGTGGACTGCGGGTCTTTGCCACGGCCCGCAACCTCAACAAGGTCCAGCATCTGGCGACCCTGGGCATCGAGACCATCGCCCTCGATGTCGTCGACAACGCCTCCATTGACGCGGCTGTCGAGACCGTCATAAAGCTCACCGGCGGCACCCTCGACTACCTAGTCAATAACTCTGGCATTGGCTACCAAATGCCCCTGCTCGATGCCGACCTGGACACCGCCCGCAAGCTGTTTGACGTAAACGTCTGGGGCGTGTTGGCCGTCTGCCAGCGCTTTGTCCCGCTCCTCGCTGCTTGTGCGGACCGCGGCGGCAACCCTCGCATCCTCAATATCGGCTCCGTCGTCAGCCGCGCTAACGTGCCCTGGCAGGGTGTCTACAACTCGAGCAAGGCTGCTCTCGCCCTCCTCAACGACACTCTAAGGGTCGAGCTGCTCCCCTTCAACATTGGCGTCCTGCATGTCGTCACGGGCGGCATCAAGACAAAATTCTACGACAACGCCGAGGGCTGCAAGCTGCCCTCAAGCAGCATGTACGCGCCTGTGCGCGAGGTCATGGAATCGGGCGTTACAGGCAAGCACGCAAGCAAGATGGCAGACTACTCGGCCGAGAAGTACGCGAGAGGGGTCGTGGACAACACGATGAGCTGGTGGCCCAAGAAGAACATCTGGCTCGGCAGTAGCACGGGCCTCACGTGGATTGGGTACAACCTCCTGCCCACCGCAATGACCGACTGGCTCATGTGCAACATGATGTTCCCCATCTCGCAACTCATCAAGGCCATGGCGGACTACAAGAGCGGACAGCACCAGGCGCAGGCGCAGGTCTCAGGTCCGGCGCACACGATGCAGGTCGAGACGCAGGACGGCGCGGACAGCCAGAGCGTCAGGGGCCTGATGAACGGCAAGAACGTGGAGCAGTCCTGAACACTACACGATCGGGTGTGACCAAGCGGGACGGCCTTGCTGGCACACCAACTTGCCGATGCATAGATTTCCTTTTCTTTTTTTTCCCTCTATTCTCTAACCCTATATCATGAGAATTCGCGGGATTGCCGTGGCGGCAAGGGAGGCATTTGCTTTTTCACATTTACTGTCGTTAGACTATACCACATGAAGCAAACAATTGGATTACGGAAGCAGACTCGGCTCTATATAAATACAGTCTCCAATCATCGTGACAAAGAAAAACCCATCTTCCTGCAAGCTGATCTTCATCGGCTTTACGATGCTCGATATATCAGAGGGAAAGAGGGGAGACTTATCAAGCTGTGTCCATAAACGCGGACACTTAAATTTTTGCATACACCACCCTCTGGGTCGACTCGGGGCGGAGGTTTTCATTTTCCTCTTTGGGCTACGCACTAACACCAAGCAGCAGTACCCATCCCCTATGCATTCACGAGTCATTCGACATTCTCCCCGCGCGCCCGCCACCAGCGGGTCCCAGCCTGCAGCCAGAACACGGACTCGACCGTGCCGAGCACGCCGACGACCACGACGACCACGACGCGCATGGACCGGCTGAGGCCGAGCCCTTCGAGGGAGAAGCTGCCTAGGGACGGATTGCCGCCGCCGCCGCCGCCGATGTTTCCCTGTTGCCCTTGTGCCTGAGGTCGTGGTGATGGCTGCGGTCCATAGACGTCGCGTGTTCGCCCGCTAGATTGGCTGCTTCTGGTTGTCGTTGTTGTTGTTGCTGTTATTGATTTGCCTCGCCGGGGGAGAAGCAAGCATTTTGGCAGACTTGGCGTAGTGGTATTGCTGAGCAATGCTGCTGCTGTTGTGTGTAAATGTGAGTGCGTTGGTGGGTGTCGACGGATGAGTAGAGCACGCGGTGCCGCTGCCGCGGCCACTGTGCGTGACAGCGAAGCCATGTCCTTGTTGTTGCTTCGGATTCTTCTTTTCTAGGCAGGAATGTGCTGAGGGGGAAACAATGCGTTGAGTAGAACGACTTGTAATGTGAACTCGGAGGCTGATCGGTAAGGAGCAACGGCACCGGAAGGAAGTCGGGGCACAGTCTAGAGAGCTAATCTATCGAATAGGCAATTTACCGAATTGTCAAAGGACCTCGAAGAAGCCTCTGAATATGCAAGAAGACGACGGGACATGATGGAAATGCGCACCAGGACCTGGACGGAAGTTATATACCATCCTTCTGGCTTACACCTTACACGAGAAGAGGCATCAGCCGACCAGGCAAGTCTGGTGCAGCAGAGCTCAGGCTTCAGGCTAGGCCGCATCGGGGGCGTAAATGGCCAAGACGTGAGAGGCTGACTGACCTACCAACGCCTGTTTACTTGTGTAACGAAAAGCCGAAGGGGGATCTAACGGCTTTAGTCCGAGAGCTTCCTTTTCCCGTCAGCTTCACCACTTGCGTGGTGATCTGGCGCGCGTAACTAAACGTACCCTTTCCGCATCTGCGCGACGGTTAGTTTTAGTAACTTATGCATTAGTATTTTACAGCAGTTCAGATCAGCAGTGGCTACTGTGCGACGATTCGAGGTTTTGCCTTGCATGACATCGGGGTAGAAAATGAGATCATGGCATAATGGACAAGGGGAAAGAGAGGAAGGCGAGTGAGAATTACCAAAAACGAAGAGTGACCTAGCTTCCTGAAAACACGGCTCGGATTGAATAGCACGAAATACGTGACTTCATGTCGACGATGATGATCCTGCAACAACCAAAAAGTATGCATCTCCCGAGACTCGAACTCGGATCGCAGGTATTTTCCACGTACATTTGTACACGAAAGATGTTGTTGTTGCAACACCTCCACTGTAAAGAACGGTGGGAAACCTACATGCTACCCCTACACCAGAGATGCTATGGCTGCTGTCATGGTTGGCTGCAGATACAAGCCGGGGAGGAAAACGCAGGATATCAAGGCCTTCTCGCTGTGCGGGGAACGGGCGTCTGGGGTCCCCACTATCTAAAGAGCTTGGGCCATTCGACCCCGCTATCAGTCGGAGCTAGGCTGAGCTGTGCTCAAGGTTAATAGCTTGAGAGGTTGCTGTGATTACCATCAGCAAGCTGTCCAGCACTTTGGAACTTTCATCACATGGGGCCTGTAACCTAGGTATTTGCAGTCGTTTGTTGCAAAAATATCCTTCATTGGACTCTAAATTTATCCATGCGACATACATGATTATTCCATTAATCCAGGCTTGTTGGTTTATGGCACGAACGTTGCCTATGGCACCAACCTGCAAAACCAATGGCTCCAATTGCCGTGGGCAACAAGTTAAATTTACAGATTCTCATGAACGGCCAGGTAGACATTCAAATTAATGGCTCAGCACTTTGAATGTCGTCGACTCTTGGTGTTGCTGTCTGGCCATTTTCGCAACGTCGTGTCAGGCACACGTAATCTCACAGCGGGTAGCGCCTGCTCCATTGAAATCAGTGACGACAACCTGGAATCCGCAGCAGTCACCAACCCCACCATCAACCACTAAACTTCATCCCCGTTCGCTTAGACGTACAGAGCACTTCGCACCAATCCTCGGCATTGCCCGTGACCGCTAACAAGCACGATCCAAAAACCCGCAACCATGGCCGCCGCAAAGGCCGACAAGATCGAAAAGATCATTGCGCGGCTGCAGACCCGCATCGAGGAGGGCCAGCACTACGAGGCCCAGCAGCAGACGAGGGTCGTCGCGGCCCGCTACACAAAGGCGGCCAACTGGCCCGCCGCCATCGACATCCTCTACAGCGTCGCGCAGTCCCTCCTCAAGGCGCCCGGCCAGGGCGGCAGTGGCGGAGACCTGGCCATCCTGCTCGTCGACACGTACAAGCAGGCCGAGCTCAAGCCCGACCCTACAGCAAAGGGCAGGCTGCTTACCTGCCTGCGCCTGTTCCCGACCGAGGAGCCAACGCGCAAGAAGTACATCGGGGAGATGATTGCGTGAGTGGAAGGAATAAGAGTTTTCATGTTTTGCTAGAGCCTAGGGATAGAACTTTTATTTGCTAACAACGTTACTCCCTTACTAGGTGGTCATCCAAATTCGGCGACTACCCGGCTGGCGACCCTGAGCTGCACCACGTGGCGGGCTCTCTGTACGCCGAGGAACGTTCGGTCTACGATGCGGAGCGACACCTGATACTAGGCACAAAGGAGTCTCCCGAGGCCCTCGCGCGCATGGAGTATGAATGGTTCAAGGAGGACGAATCCCACATGGCGGCCCAGTACGCAGCACGCGCCGTGCTCCCTTACCTCGTCACAGCCAACGTGCGGGCGGCCAACGCCTCGTACCGCGCATTCACAAGCGCCCTCAGCCAGGACAAGGGCGGCCAGCTCAACGCCCAGGATGTTAGCAGCAACAGTGCTGAAATCCGCATCTACCCTAGCATCCCGCTGCTCAACTTCCTAGGTCTTCTCCTTCTTGCCGTGCAACGGGGCACTGCCGACGTCTACAGGCAGCTCACCACCAAGTACTCAACACATCTAAGAGATGTGAGCTCATGGCAGGAGCAGCTTGAGCTCATTGCCGAGATGTACTTCCAGATTCAGCGGCCGAGACAGAGCAACCCCTTGATGGACATGATGAGCGGCTTCTTCGGGGGCGGAGGTGGTGGCGGCGCGGCTAACGCGGCTCCCCGCAGACCGGCGATAGGCAGTTCGATGCCAGCGGCGGAGGGCCTGGACTGACACGGCCCGGTTACCACTATATCGAAGCTACGATCACCAAAGCGGAGTACAGCCTGAAGGCACCGTGTGGAACAGCTCTTGCGCAGATGATGCAGACTAGCTACTTTCATTGCATTCGCGGCTGCTCCTCGGCCTCGTACATCCAGTTGTCATCTGCCAAGGCCGCGACCTGCGCCCTCATGCTTGCTCTGAGGGTTTCTATCACTTCTTTGGCACGTGCAATCGTGTCAGATTAGCGCATACGTATAAGTGTATTCTCTTGGTCTGCGACGACCTACCCTCGGGTTGTGCAGGCATGCGACTCAAATTGATCTGGTGGTGCTTGACAGCATCAGCCAACCTTCGTCTTTCCTCTGTAGCGGACCATAATATTGTCACATAATTAGCCCAGCAAAAAGAACTGTTTTTCGCCCTTTGGTTTTCTCTCGTGCGTTCGGCTGAACATACGTTCATTCTCCTGTGCCTCATCGAGCCCGGCATCCTCAAGGTCCTCGAGCGGGGGCGTGGGCGGGTCGCCAATATCAAAGTCGCCGTTCTTGTCGCGGACGACAATCTCGGACGTGTCGGACAGCACGTCGACGTTGTTATCGCCAAGGCGCAGCGTCTCGCCCGAGGTGGACGACGTCGGGGTCGGGCGGCGCGTGAGCTGACTCTGGAACAAGTTGCGCCTGACACCCGCGTTTGTCGTCGCCGCTGTAGCCCCAACCACGGCCCCTGCTCCAGCACCGACATTGTTGTTACTGCTGCTGCCGTGGTTGCTGCCGTTACTGCTGCTGTGTTGGTGGTGACTCAGGTTTTGTCGCGACGGAGCGCCTCGGTTCGTGGGTGGCCGCATGTTCTGCGGTGGCCGGTCGGCCATGGTGCCTAATGTTTTTTTTAGACCCGTGGACGTATCTCACGAGGACGAGAGGCAGGTTTGTATTGCTGGTGCGTGCCGAGAGAGGTGGGTCAATCTCGTTTGGAGGGGCGCGAGGAAAGGCCGGGCGATAAGGATGCTGTGTGAAGAATGCTGATCAACCATGAATTTTGCATGTATCGAGAGGTGGTATGTGTAGGTGCTCAGACAGAAAGGTTGAAGCTGCCGCAAGCCGCTGTTGCTTGTGATCGGCGGTATCTAGGTTGGCGTGATCCCCACATTCCCCGTTTGGCCGTAAGGCGCATCGCTGTGCTCCACCAGAGTCAACGAACCTTTCGAGACATTCAAACAGGCACCCCAAACAACAACACTCCGCCTGCAAACATCTTTAGGGTCCATGAAACACCTGGGCTCTTAAAGAGCTGTGAAGCAACCTCTCACTCCCTTGCACTGTCGTAGCATCTCTGCCCATTCTCGTCCTGCTCGGCACACGATATGCACCATGAGCGACAATAGCTCTTTCAACATCCAGCCAATCGGCCGCTTCTCTGGCGAGTGTGAAGCTGTCAAACGCCCAAAGGCAAAGCCTCCCACCCCGACTCGCCTCGACCGTGACTTCAGCGGGCAATTGGACTGACGAGTGATTATAGGAGTTCGCCTGCTTCTCCTACGACGACAAACATGAATTCCACCTGGATGATCGCTCCATGCAGTGGTACTACCCACCCCGGCTAGGGGCCGACCTCTCCAGGGGCTTCGAGTCGTTCGACAAGCACGACGACGCCGGCGATGAGCATCTAGACAGCCTGCTCAAGACTGTCATGGCTCATGAGCAGGCGTCGGGGTCCAAGATCGATGCCCAGATACTGACCTGGCGCGGCATGATGACCAAGGTCTGGCATTTACCTCGAAGCCACGAGGTGACCTGTTGCTGATATTGCATTTGCTTCAGCTCATGTCTGCCCCCTTTGAAGATAGGGACGGGTAAGTACTAACCTACTTCATTTTCGTCGCTAGTAGTCGCTGACAAGACTTGTTGCACAGCTTCGAGATGAACGCTACTCTGTACCAGGTAAGCTCACAGAGACATGGGCGAGCAAGTGTTCAAACGCAGCTAACACAGTATTGTGCTCTGAAAGGGTTGCATGTAAGTCAGAAGGAAACCTGGCTTATATTTCTACCAGTGTCGTTTCTGACAGGCCACTCCACTCCTCAGCTTCATCGAGGAGAACCATGAGTACAAGCAAGCGAGCAAACAGGAACAACATAATCAGCAGCAAGGGCGGCGGCACCAGCAGTTCTCGCCTGATGTCATGACATTCTGGGGTGAGCGATCTGCCCGAACTCCTTTTCACTAGTCGATTTCATGAAACCCGGAGTATGCTAAGATACAGATCAGGCTACAAATTCGAGGCTCTCAGCTGCTTACCACGCCCCTGGGGCGAGATGTCCAGAGAGTACATAGAAAAGCGGGAGGATCACATCGTTAGCAACAAGGCACAATACTGCTCCGTTGTCCGCACGGGCATCGGCAAGAACATATTATGTCTCGGCGGAGAGGTCGATGCGAGTCAGTCCCTCCACCTGAAGCAGTCATTGCAGACTCCGTCTCCCTTTGCTGCATTAAACGCTCTAGCATTCCCAGTACATTCACTAACCTCGAGCCCCCTCCCGACACAGTCTGGGACTCGAAGCCCGCCGAGCAAGGCAAGCCCATCAACTGGGTCGAGCTCAAAACGAGCGCCGAGATCCGCGACGAGCGCGGCATGGCCAATTTTGAGCGCAAGCTCATGAAGTTCTGGATCCAGTCGTTCCTATTGGGCGTCCCCAAGATCATCGTCGGGTTCCGCACGCAGGGTGGCATCCTCAGCAAGCTCGAGGAGATCAAGACGGTTGCCATCCCTGAAACGGCGGCCCGGAGGGGCGTCAGAAGCTGGGATGCAAATACATGCATCAATTTTGCGAGTGGCTTTCTAGATTGTGAGTCCTCTTTCCGCCTTTGTTCGGCGGTTTCTCCGTGCCAGTCTTTGGGACTATGCCACGGAAAGTCTTCCAGGTGTTTGCAACGTCTAAGGGTGCTCTCAGCTTCTGCGCTGTGGAGCAAAGAGACTAATCGTTATTCCAAACGACCCCATTGCTGACAAACATGATGGCATGTAGGGCTGAAGACGGCAATCAATGACGAAGGCGTGTGGAGGATACGACGCGGTACACGTTCACAAACGATCGAGGTGTTCCGGATCGAGGAGACGGGCCACGGCAAGATCCTGCCCGACGAGTTCATCAACTGGCGGATAAAGCTTGGTCTCCAGGGCAGTAG